CCAAAAATTTGTGATGAAGCTAAATAAATAGCAAAACATGTTAAATTAATAAAGATTTTTCTTATTTATTCCTTATTTAATTATTCTGTCAAGTTTAATTCATATCTTCAGCACACACACACACACACACACACACACACATATATTTATATATATTCTTCAGGTGTCTGTCATAGCTGGTCCCTCTTATATAAGTCAAGAAGAGAATTCTAGTTCAAGTAAAATAATATATATATATATATATATATATATATATATATATATATATATATATATATTATGTGTATGTTCACTATGAATAAGCAAGCAAATTCTCTGTTTCCTTCAGCTTTTATTTTTTATTAGCTGCAACTCTGAGAATCATTGCTTGTGGGTCAATTATCAACTGTACAATGTCTATCTGGAATATATCCAGCAATTTTGAATATGCCATGTTGTTTGTACAATCTTGATGTAACATGGCACCCAATCAGAGAGGAACTTACTGTGCATGTGTAAATAGACACTCTCTTGTAGAGATACTCATTTGGAAGTGAGAGACTATTAACTGAGCTTGTGTACTGTGTGACCATCATGTTCACAATTCACAAGCAAGTAAATTCCTCCAGTCAAGCAAATAACAGAAATAAGATAAAAGAAAAACTAGTAAAAAACATTAATAATGACAATTCAGACAACTTAAAATCTGATAATATTTACATGTTCTTGTCTTAAAAGTATTACTCAGTAATTCCTAAATTTCTACAAAGGTAATATCTTTGTCTTTCTTCCAATTAATTGCTCAGAATATTCTGCATCTGTGAACAATAAGAGCTATTTCATAGCACGTTTCATGTCTATAAACTAATTACCAGAATGCTATAGGTGTGCACTTTGAAGACATTGCAATCAGATTTCTGTTTCCCTCTCTTTATTCATCTCTTAGTTTCTCACTTCCTCCAGTCTCTTTAATCATATTCCTTCTGTCTTCCATGACAGGTGCTAAAATTTCATACTTAATAATTTATATTTGGTGATAAATGGAAACAGGTCTAGGCAGATGAACTTGCTTTCTATGAAGTGGTTCCCTGGTTCTTCTTCTAACATTTTAAATACTCAATTCTTTCTACTTGTGTTTGCTTATTTCAGAAGTTTCTTCACACTGGCTCCAAATGTGGATCTGGAGCTGGGATTTAGTCCAGAATGTATTCTTTCCTGTGAACAGTGTAATGGTTAGCAGCATGAAAAATTAATTTGATATGATGAATGTAATACCTGTTTGATTCTGTTTATCCACATCAAAAAAAAAGAAAAAAAAAGCATAAATCTATCCTCCTCCAACCATGGGTTAAATAACACAGCAGACTTGGTCCTCTTGCCTAAAGGTGGCAACCAGTCTAATAAAAGGAAAACTCTGAATTAAAAAACCGGCCTAAAGAGAGATGGGCTCCATGAGATTAACTTGCTTAAGACACATACCTGTTGTTATGGGTGCAATACATGTAGTCACCCTTATGATCCTAATGGGTTATGGGGTTCATGATATGACAGGATGTAGTCTTCTCATCCTCATCACCACCTGAGGAAAGCAAAAACATTTTTTAAAGCTCTAGAAGAGGAAATTTAAAAAAAAAAAGCATGAAGTAATCCCAAATTAATCTTAAAATCAATTATTATTGTTTATCATCCAATATAAGATATATTTTTTGTTTCATCGGTTTTGTTATAAGTTTCTTCTGTTCATTTTTTTTTCTTTTTACATTGCTTTTTTTCAAATCTAGTGCTCAAATGCTATAATTCAAGTGCACATGAAAAAAGCTTACACATACTGTAACCCACAATGATCTCAAAAAAAAAAGCAAGAAATCATTTCATTCTGACCCTGAACCCACTCAAAATCCTGAATCTGCTCTTGGATCACATTTTTCTTTTACCTTTTTCATTCCTCAAATAAAAACCCTTGATCTTTAAGATTATGAACTTTTCTTTAGGTGAGAGTTGTTCGTAGAATTATCATGGCTACTTGTGTAAAACTTATTATTAATTGATATTAATTTGTATTAGTATGGTACTCATAAAAAATGACTAGATATTTATGTATGGAACGACCCTTCTGCCCAGGATCAAAATCAGTCTAGGATAAATGTCTCTCTCCTCAGCTTGACTAGAATCAGAGCATAGTATCTACACACTAAAAATGCTACATAGAATATATATATATATATATATATATATATATATATATATACACACACACACACACACACACACACAATGAGTAAAAAATAGTGTCCTGTTTTTATAATTGTTAGGTGATTGATTGTTTGCTATTTGTATTACTATTACTATGTACAGCATGGTAGGAATCAGTGAAAGACTAGTTTATCTAACCATTTATTCAGTGGGAAGGGGAAATTATTAAGAAAACAAAAAGAATTAACTAAGAAAATTAGTAATCTGCAAGAAAAATATTAACAACATAGTGTCCTGAAATCTGGACACTATTTTTTACTCACCCTGTACATAAACACACACACACACATACATACATATATATATATATATATATATATATATTATTATTATTAACCTGGATTAAAACTTTTCAGTTTATCAGAAAATTGTGTTCTTTACCAAGTGTTTCCCTCTTATAAAGTTATTTTTTGCATATAAACATTGCAGATTTTTACAAGAATGCATTTGGGGGGGGTCTGCTAATATGGCTTATACTCTTAGCTTTATAACTTGAGTTCAAAGAAATTTTTGAATAATTGAAAATATTCTTATTTTTATTGTTCCCACACTGTTTTGGCTGATTGATTCTGGAACTCTGAGACCAAATATTGTTATCATTTCATTTTTTTTTCAAACATCTTTTTATTTTTGTCACAATGTTTAAGCTAGTATAATCTAAAATTTTCTGAAATCTTGTAGTGAAACAACAAAAATTAGGATGCTTTTATGATATTAAAAAATATTAATTAATAAGTATAGATAATATTTCTCATTTAAGAAAAATATATTCTTTTTTTTCAGGTACTTGTAAAATTTGCAATATCTTCTTAGGTAACTAGAATATATCAAAACCTTAATATCTTCTAAGTGTTATTAAATTGATTTCTAATCTCTTTTCATCACTGATTGAACAGTGTGTTTTGGATCTGATTTTAAGTGTACTTACATGATCATCAGCATATTTCATTTCTTGGAGAATCATCTCGCATAAACAGACAAGTTTTTTTGCGCTAACCCAAAGAAGATTTTCAGCTGGAATCATGCAAGAGGAATATCTTTCCTGCACAAAAGATATGTACACCCTATCTGAAGTTATTAAGCAAATCATATAAACTTCAATAATTCAAATTTGGTTTGAAAAAAATTGTCAAATCTCAAAACAAAGTTGGAGTTAAAATTTTAGGTAGTATCAATATGTTTTACTGAAGTTATTGAAGGTTTTTTTTATTGATGTATTTTTAAAAACTGCCACCTGAAGTTATTAGGCATAATCTAATACCATAATTCCCCATGTATAATATGCATTTATTTCTAAAAAGTAATAAGCAAAACCAGGGGTGCGGTTTATGCATAGCTACAATAAATCTTTAAAAAAATTGCCATAAAATAAGAATTATCATAAAACTAAATTTGAATAATATTATTTTATGTTTAAAACCATTTTTTAAGAGTAGGAAACACTACTCATAATGAAATTGAAGAAGTACAATTTATAGGATTTGATTCCCAAATAGGATATATGTGTGAGTAGAAGCATTTTCCCACAGTTTCAGCACAATTTTAGGTGTGTGTATTATGGATGAAGGCGTATTATACATGGAGAATTACAGTAATCACATTTTGCTTCAATAAAAAAAGGTAATAAAATCAACAAAAAATTGATCAACACCTATAATAGAACAAATAACAAACACATATGATAAGTGTTTGAATCCTGTACATTTTAATATAGTGGCCCTTCTTCCTTCTCAATAACAGCCAGTAAACTATTATCCATTGATTTTGTTCACTGTTAAGCTTAGATGCATGAGAAGGAACATTGTCATGCATAAATACACACTACACTTTGTTAGCACTGTTCAGTTTAACTCCTCCATCAACTTTGAATGGTCCAGTAATGGTTGGTTGACAATTCCAGCCCATATCATAACACTATCACATTCTTGTTGTGTTCCTTTAGCAACAGGCATGTCTGAATTGGATAAAATCCATCCTTTGGCCCATCCACAGGTCTATCAAATATCATTCAAGATTTGTTCATGAAAATTACTTTAGAAAAGTCAATTTTCATATATTACTTGCCCCAATTTTGATGCTTTAAAATATTTGATTCAGTGAGAAGAGGTTGCCTAAGAGATTTTTTTACAGATCTCAATTCACAAAGTATTCTACATGTTTTGTCGTTCTGGGTCTCCCTCAATTCCAGCCTTTTTCAAAGATCTGAGCGCTGGTCAAAAATGGTTGTTTCACTATAACTCACTTTAGTTTACGTTCATCTCGAGGATGCAAGTTCTTAAAGCCTTTTCCTTTGCTTCAAGTTCTCAACTTATTATTTTCAACAGCCTTCCTTATCATACAATAATCTCTGCGAACCTCCTTTCATATCTCCAATCTGGACATTCCCTCACTCAATAACTTCGTTATCTTCTGTTTTTCAGCAGTTATTAGATCCTTCCTTTTAGCCATGTTTCAACATATATTATGGACAAAAAGAAAAAATAGTTTCTATTAGATTTCAAAGGTCTTAAGCTAATATTAGTTTAATTTACATACTAACTTCAGTCAGTGCATTTTCATAAATTCCAAATATCTAAAAGACTAACCATTAAAAATAGAAGAAAATTTAGTTAAATATTTTACAACAGGTAGAAATTGATGAGTTTAAATTTGATAAGTATTGTTTTTGAGTTATTGGGGTTTATTTCATTTGCATAATAACTTCAGACAGGCTGTAGATTTATCAAGATAATTTAATTTTTTATTTAATATTTTTTTGTTTCTTTCAGAAAACACAGCAAACCACAAGGATTATCTTTAGTTGCTGATGTTCGTGGATCGACAAGTTCTACTGTGAACACTCTTTTGGAAGCATTGCACTTGTTTCAAGTAAGTAAAAATGAAATTAAGGACAAGAACACAGAACATGCAAGCTGTAACAATTTAATTCTTGGAATGGCCCAATGAAGGCAATGTTACTTTGTCAATATTCTCTTCTGCTGCCTTCAAAGTACTCTCTTTGTGAAGCTGTGCATTTTGGGAGATAGCAGTGCCATTGCTAGAAACATTCTTGGAACTTGTTTTCCAGAATACATTTTAGTAACATAGTCAGGAGTTGCTGGATATCAGCAAATTTTAGAAATAGCCAAAAATCTCAAGGGTCTAGATCTGATAGTAAAGTGTATGGTTCATCTTTGCAATGGATTGCAAGAACTACCAAACTCCTAATACTTCATGATAACATCTGCTTCACTTTCCCTATTCATATTCAGCTCTCCTATTGTCAGTCACACACTTAATATTTAATCTGTATACACCAGTGTTAGCACTCTGTCCACATTTGCATGTTCCTTGTGTTTTTGGCTGCCCACTTTTTGTGTTTTTGACTGCATTATCAATAACATTTAGCCCTTCCTTGAACTGTTCATGCTATTCAAAAACACTCAATTTATTAATAGTATGTTCATCATAAGCTATTATTTTCCCTAATCTTCACACAAAGATTGAAGTTAATCCTCTGGTCCAGTTTCTTTTCACTTCTTTTTCACCAACAGTATAGCATGAACACATACAACTTCCTCTACTGTTTGGCAACAAACATCTCATCTGGACTGCCTCTCAAGAAAGCAGTAGTTGGAACATGTCCAGATATGCTTGGGTACAAATATTTGCCAGACTCATACCCCCAAAAATGCTGTTGTCATTCCAAGAACCCATGTAAGCTGTGTTTTGTTGATGAGATGTATTTATTCATAATCAGTCGTTTTCTCAGGACCTCCCCAGCCATCTGCCATACATGGGAATAATAGACATCACCCTGCTTGCCTCTGCCGTATTGACAAAGGCTTTGATTTCAGTTTTCTTTTTCTCTTAGACTGGTTAACTTACCAAAGCTAAAAAATTCAGATTACCCCACTATTTTAAATATAGCTGTCTGAAGAAGAAATGGATTCTTATCTTTTCTAAGAGTATTAGTGCAAAATGAATGCAACAGTCTCAGCTGCAATTTGAACATAGTATGCCAATTCTGTTTTCTGATAACTATAATGCCATTTGCATATCCATTTCTCATCAGCATTTATGGTTGGTGTTCAAACCCAAATAAAACCATATAAAATGATATGGAGGTTGTAGTAGTTGAAATGCTGTAAATTTTAAAGAAGTCAAGATGAAGGCAACAATCCACAGAAATTAGTGAATAAAGCATGTCAGGACTTTGATTCACTTGAATGATTTAATATATAGTGACACTACAAATATTAAAATTATATGTATCAAGTAAGCAGATGCTAAAATTTCTATGATATATTTAGCATAGAAAATATCATCAATATAAGATGAATTCTAAAAATTGATAATTTAATACTTACCACTATTCTGTTAAAAAGCTCATGCAAAATACAAGTTGTGCATTCTTAATCTGAGATTCTGTACTCCTGCACCTCCTGTTGTCTGGAATATTCCAAATAGGCTGCCATTAGTTTGTGCATCTACCACTAGAGGTTTGAATTGTAATGCCATGGTTTATCAACTGACTGAATAAACCAATTGAATGTGTTAAAAAAACTGATTTGAAATCAAATCTAAGAATTTCTGTCTGTATTTCTGGGATAAGGATTTATTAGTATTTATATTATTTCCATTTGGATTAATGCCTTTGTGGATATACAGGTGGTGTAATGGATGGTGACTCAGATAGACAAATTGGAGAGCCGAATTTGAATTCCATTTGGTTGTGTTGCATTCACTTACACACAAATACTCTTGGGAAAGGTATAAATCCATCTCCTCCCCCTCATTTATTAGTTGAATAGTAGGACATATCTGGGAAAATCTGTGTTGTTGTTAAAAAATTGTTAATGCAATAATCACGGACAAAAAAAATGAATTATTCCAACAATCCAAAATATATTTTGACTTTAAATAACCCACAAATTTTTGATGAACCATAAAAAACAAATCAGTCACTAATGTCTTCATTTTGGCCATTGTACCAACACATAATCTAATGTAGTTTCAATGAAATGTTTTTCAATTTGTCATATTCTTCAAACTTTGTCAGGATTCTGTATCCTATTATATACACACATATATTATAATAATGTTAAAATAGTTATCAAATTCCTGACGATTGTATTGTAGCAGGGTAAATGAAGCTTTGAGAATTGGAATTTGATAACCGTCTTAATATTATTATAATATATTTAAGCTCTGCTGACTTTTACATTGAGTGCTTAGTTTATTTTATATTTTAAGCTTTTAGGTTATAGTTTATTATGTGTATACATATACAGTGATGTGCCAAAATAAGTAAACCTCCTAAGGTAATATTTTAAAAATTTGTTTCTTTTTTCCAGATAATCAACATCTTAATTAAACTATGCATTCATTTAAAAAAACATTTATTAAACAAATTACAACTACTTTCAACCACTTTAATTAATATTTTTATTACAGCTTGATAAAAAAATTTTGAAAGTGGTTGTAATTCATTTAATAAAAGTTTTTCTTAATGAGTATATAGATTAATTAAGAATTATTCATTATCTGGAAAAAAGAAACAAACTTTTTAAATATTATCTTAGGGGTTCACTTATTTTTGCACAGCACTGTATATGTATGTGTGTGTGTGTGTGTGTATACCTATATATGCATATGGCAGCTCAACATACATTGTTTTCATTACCAATCAGAACAAAATATTTTACTTTATGATTCCCTTTAAAAGGTTTCTTATTTGTAATAATAATTTCTTTTTTTTTTTTGCCTTCAGAAATGAACCATGCTTCCAACAAAATATATGTTTGTTTCTTTATCAGATCAATTCCAATAAGCGCAGTCATTTTGAGGAGCTGCATTAGCTACTATGTGTAAACTCCTCACAATCTCACTTTTGCATCTCAAGCTGACCAGTTGCTCAAGGTCAATTTCAATGAAGCTATCAATTTCAAATTTTGAAAGTGAAAATAGGATTTGTTATTTTTGTTTGTGCTTTTCTACTCATTTGAAATCTTTGAATATTAAACAACCTTTACACTTTACAATAGCCACAGGACTCTGAGTAAATATTAGCCATGGCAATAAATCCTTTTAATTATGTGAAAAGATCAGAGACAAGGTGGAAACTTTAGTGGCTATTTATAAGACATTTGTTCACACATTTTGGCAATATGAGAAATTATATCAGGTCTCTTTCTCTGTATGTACACATGATAGATGTAAGCCTTTTATGTATGTGCATCTATATTATTAATTTTGTGCATACATATTTGTTTGTACGTGTGTGAACTATATAACATAGATAATTGTATGGGTTTTTGTGTATAAATATACATATAGATCATTGTATATGTTTGTATATGTGTTTGTGCATAAATATACATATAGATAATTGTGTCTATGTATATGTGTGTGTATATAAATATACATATAGATAATTGGGTGTCTGTAATTATGTGAGTGTGTACATATAGATAATTGGGTGTGTGTGTGTGTATATATATATATATATATATATATATATGTGTGTGTGTGTGTGTGTAAATATACATATAGATAATTGTGTGTATATATATGTGTGTATAAATATACATATAGATAATGTGTGTATAAATGTGTGTGTGTGTAAAAAATATATATATAAATAATTGTTTGTGTGTGAGTGTGTGTGTATATATATATATATATATATATATATATATATATAAAATTATTTATATATTTATGTATGCATGTATATAGATAGATGCCCAAGGAAAATGTTGCTATACAGTTGCCCAAAATAATATTTCAGTGACTAAGGATATATATATATATATATATATATATATATATATATATATATATATATATATACACACACACACAGATGTAATATCATTGTGATATGATTCAGTTATGAGCAACCCTGCTAATGACTTACTATCAGACTTGAATTGTATGTAGCACAGTTTCCAATTATCTTGACTGGTTCTTGTCATTGGATAAAGTCTGATGCTGTGAGTGTTCACACTGTGTTGTGCAAACTATGAATGACTATAAACAATTGCATAGGTACCATGGGCTACCTGAGGTTGAGAGTGAGGAAGCACCTCATCTGCCACATCCTGCTTGGTGGCTGTTCTTGAGCAATATATATATATATATATATATATATATAAATACCAAATCCATAAATGGTAGGAATTATTCCAAGGAGGTCTTTTTAATATAAAAATATTAAAAAGTTTACCAATAATGTTTGATAGTTGGTGAGGGGTTAAACCATATTACTTTTCTTTTTCTGTGTTTGGCTCCATTCTTTTTATTATCTTTTAATGATTCTTTGTAAAATAATTTTTGTTTGAATCCACTTTTTTGAATGCTTTTTCATTAAAAATGTTATTGTTAAAAGATAATCTATTAATTCTAGTGTTTACAGTATTTGTAATTTGTCCCAATTATTGAATTGGGATGATTAGAGTTGACATTAACTAGGAGTTTGATTGTCTTTGTGATATGGCTTAAATGTGTTGTTCAAAAGGTTGAAAGTGATATCATTATCAGGTATTTATATGATGTTTGAAGTTTTTTCCTTATAATATATATATATATATATATATATATATATATATATATATATATATATATATATAATGAATGCCCAAAGCAACCATCATATATATGAGGAAAGAGAGGAATAGGTAACCCAGAAATTTATTCTTTTGCTAGTGTCTCCAGATCCTTAAGGCTGGAAAGCTTCTATGCCATTATTCCTGCCATCATTACTCCATTAATCCTGTTAGAATTGAACATATTTTTTTTATTTTTGCTTCTTTTTAAAATTATTTTGCTTCTTGAATCTTTCCCTATTGAGATTATTTTGCATTTCTTATAGTTCATCTAATGAT